CCTCAGGCTGCTTTGTTCTTTGGTAACACTATTTGTGAATGTTCTTTCCTTCTGCGACTTCCTGTGGCTTCCAACTTCACAAGAAAAAGGTGAAGGAAACCAATCTTATTGACACACACAGTATTGCCAGACAACCTTATCTCAGCATCTGATTTCAGAGGAGCCCGAGACTTTTTAGATGCTCCCGTTCCTTTCTCTGGAAGGAAAAATTCTAGTGTTTTATCTTGAATAAATGATTCACCACAAAACCAGCCTTGTAGCAGCCTTCTTACCTGAAGTGCAAGAGGCTTCCACCTCACATTCTTCAGAAGGGCGGGAGCAGAAACCAGGGTATTCTGAGGACGTTTTTTCAAGGTTAAAATCACTCCATTTGGGTCTTCCCGCAATGCATTTACTAGGTTCTTTAACTGCCAGCCAACCTAAGGAAAAATTCCATAATTGAATTTTGAAAGCTTTCCACTGAAATGTGAAGGAAGTCTTCTATTAACTGAAAAGGTCTGTTACAGTCTACTCTTTGCAAACATAAGCAGTTTGTATAAACTGTGCCTTGATTACTTCTGTTGGACTGAAATGATGCTGCTGAAGCTGGAGGGGTTTTTTTAGCTACATTTCTCAACAACATAAGGCACAAGTGAACACTGTTTTCCTTTTAACAATTTGTTAGATCACTGTACATTGTAAATTAAATGATGAGGATGGTCATGAAACAATTTCAGTCTGGCTCCTGAGCTGAAATGCCCACTGCTGATGAAGAAAACAAACTATGCTACAGCAACATATGTTACAGCTTTAAGATCCTAACTGAAGAGAAATAATAATTTCCTTGATTTATCTCTACAGCCCCCGGATAGAGCTGAGTAATTTAAGTTACCATAAATCGTAAACATACCCATAAAAAAAAAGAATATAACTGGCACTGAAAGGATTTTATATATGCTGCTCACAAAAAGCTACTTAGAGACATGTATTGATCATTTGAATATGAATTCATCATGAACTATTTATACATGAAAATGTATAAATGTATTTCTGAGACTTTTTAAAATGAATGTTTACACTATTCTGTTATCCTGAATGGCTGAAGAGGTCTTAAAACTGAATAATAATATAAATGATAGTATAAAAAGATGTTTATCATAAAAGTAGCCTCATGCACATTTAAGAGCTGCTGAATTTCTATCCATATTTCCACGAGCACATGAGAAATAAACAACAAAAAAGAGCATCAAAATGGTCAGATATGTAAATTCCAAACTGAAAGTACAATTTGGAAATAGTCACATTTTTCTAAACCTCAATCAATCTTTCTTCCACATTACAACACTATAATCAGTGGAATGGTGCTAGTTTAAATAAGAGAAATAAATTTGGCTCTATTCAGCAGTCCTTTGGTCCTGCCTAAATGCGACTGATATATTAGCTTGTTCACCATGAATAAAAAACCCAAATTCCTACCATTTAGCATTTCACAGTGAATTACCACCAAAAGTTGGTTTGCCCTGTTTCCTGAGTATTGTGATTATTGAAGTTTCTATACTATAAATGATGGTCCTGTTCCACCCCAGCTCTGCTAAGCAAAGCACTACAGATCCAATCCTGCCCAGGGTATTTTTTTCAAAAGTCAATTTCTGTGACAGAAAAGCTGATCCCCCAGCACCTCTCAAAGTGCCTGCATTAAACTCGTCCCTCCAATTTCTATTCCAAACGTGGCAGATTTTTACAGCAGCAATAAATGGCCCTAGTAAAGACCTGTCATAACTGTTAGGACTACCACAAGTCTTAAGCCCTAATGTCAGGCAGCTCTGCACTGAGCAGCAATCAGAATGCCACAGTTGTACCATGGGTCTCCATAGAATCATAGATCTATTCAGGTTGGAAAAGACCCATGGGATCACCCAGTCCAACCATCATCCTTGCTCTACAAAGTTCTCCTGACACAGGCTGACTGAGGCCAAGCTGCAGCAGCCTTGAAGTGAACACCTGGGAATGAAAAGCTTCAGGAATGCAAGAGCAGTAACTGCACAAGTACCTGTAATCATCAAGTGACACTATACCTGCTATGCTTTCTGACTAGCTTTGACCTGTCAGAGTTCACTTGAACATTTCAATCAAAAATACCTCTGACCAAAGTGTGTATTGCCATTGCTAATAAAAAAAATAAGGACAACATTTAATAATGTATGTGTTTAGAATCAGAGCAACCTATGTATATCAGCATGCTATATCAGGTACAGTTTATAATTACTTCCTCTTAGAGGAAGATAATATCTGATTACAGATGGAGACAGAGGGGAAAATATCAAAGGTGACATTGAAGAGATTTCAATTAGAACCTTGAAGAGAAGTTAAGATATGAACTGTAAGGGTCTAGCCTGTCTCCATAGTGGCCTGAAGCCAGGATCCCAAGTGTGAACACTGGGCTTGGAAAGAACTGCAATATGCGTCACAATTCTAAAAAGGGGTTTAATAGCTTTTTAAAGTTTCAGTCTATTTTTAATGTTGCTGCTCTATTGAAAACTTTCTATAAATGTGCTGGCCACAGGAAACCAGCAAATGGCCCTGATTATAAACAGCTCACAGCCAAACACACACAAATGTGTCAACTTGCATTGCAAACAAACTCTTCTGTTTTTTTGGTTTTTTTTTTATAGGATGACAGAGGCTATATAGGGTTTTTTTAACTCAAATCATAGAATTAAAGATGAAATATTTTTTATTTTTATAGATTGATGTAATTTTCAGAATGCTGAAACCTTTAGAGTTAAACAAGCCCTTTTTAGAAAAGAATGATAAATAATTAAGTTAGTGATAAATTATTCCAATGAGAACCTTAATGACAAAACCATTAAATACCAAGATCTATTAGAGAACAGTCTGCAGTCATTACTACTAGGCCATGATAAAATGCTCTTAGGAATTTGGACATGTTATTATAAATTGTATTGCTAAAAATATCTTTGAAAAAAATAGAAGTCATTAAAGTGGATTAAAAATCTTAGTTGAAAACCAGTCCTTGAGACAGATTTTGACATTTATTCTCAAAGAACCAGTCTTCAATAGCAATTACTGGCTTCTGTCTGTGGTGAGATGTATTCAGCAAAAGGATATTTTGCTGCTTTCAGATTTTTAGTGTATACATTCTTTTATTCAGATTCCACAATATGAGTTAAGATATTTCCCTCACTAATGAAAGCTAACATTTGAATTAGAAAAATGAAAGAAAAAAAACAAATGAATGTGATAATTTTCTTATTTTCCTGAATAAACAAAATAGAAAAGCAATTAGGACACCCATTACATTCAAATTAACACATTCAGAAGCTCTAGTCATGATGCTCTGCTCTCTGCTAAACATACCTATATATGGAAATACACTGGACTATGATTTTCTCTCTTTATAAACTGGGCCTACAAAACCTGGAATGCGGAAAGCCAAATGCCTGCTGTTCTCTTACTTCACAACTGAAAGGACAAACAAAACAGTCAAGATGCCAGCAATGAGAATTGCTACCAGAGTGAGACCCACAGAGTTTGTGAAAAGGTCAGAACCACAGAAACTTTGATACTTACTGCCTTAAAATTACTGATTTTCCATTTTAGCAAATTAAAAAATATATATTTAATTTATATTATAAATATGGAAGAAACTTAGAAGGATGCAAAGCAAAATCACTGAAAATGCTAAGAGGCAGAAGTTTAAGATTTTGATGCTTTACTCTCAGGATTGCTTTAATCAATAATTTTTATTGGTTTGTACATCTTTGGTGTGGGAAGTGCTCCAGGGAAACAGTTGTGTACTACTGTCCATGTTACGGGATGTGTTAGCTTTCCAATAAAAAAATACAAGCCAGATAATTAGTGGAAACTGCAAAATATAATGACTTCTAAAAGTAATAGTTTAAAAAATATTAATCCCTACGATAGTCAGGTTTTTACCAGAAAAGTATAATTATATCCACGATGTTGTAGTAATTTTGTGTGCTTAACCCTGATAATTTTGCAGCTGAAACTTCATAACTAATATGTTCAGAAAACATAATTCAGCTTCATTAACCTACAGTCAAAGACTTTCTTTTCTAGTTCTCCAGTATGTTCTTTAGAATCTCCCCATTATTGACTTTGTTCCTTCTGATTTGGAAGATCTCCATTTTTATTAATGGGATTTGGGATGCATACTACCAGCAAGGTGGTTTTCTGCACTTTTAGAAACCCAAACCCTGTTTCATGCTGGACAAGCACCTTTTCTCCTTTTTTAAAATAAAGGCTACCTGGCCAATGATGACTCACTAATTATCTTTAAGAAAAAGAAACTAAAAAAGTCTTTATGTTTCAGGCACAAAACCAAGAAGGCTGAATGAAAACACAAGCTGGTGCACTTGTGGATGAGTGCACAGGCATGAAGTGAACAATACATTAATCTAGTAAAAGGAACTGAAAAACACCTGGATTGTTCAACATGATGGTGCTTATCAAAGGATTCCAGTAGTCATAATCATCACAGCAGTTATTCACCTCCATGCCAGTGTCTTCAAAACATGACACTGATTTGTTATGGCACAAATTTAGAAGATACAGCTCAGAGGGTGGATAGGAGTGCCTAGTGGAGAGAGTATCTATACTGCTTGCTCTGAAAGTCCTGGGGAGGGAGCAGGACTGTGGTTCCTCAGTTCCTTCAGTGCCTTACCAAACCTCTGAGCCTCAATCAGGTTCTAACAAACACAAACCTACAGAGTGCACCTCACAGAAGGAAGGCAGGTCACTCCTTAGTCTTTGTGGGACTTGTGCATGTCTCACTCACTGTATCACACTCAGCTTTGATCTTAGATAGGATGGAGATATGTAGGGTGTTAACTAAACAGGAATTTCTGAACTGCCCTGTCAGGCATTTAGTGTGGAAATCAGCTGTACAGAGTAGTATTTTCTAAATATTTAGAGCACACTAGATTGCACAGCACCTGAAAACAAGCAATTCTGCTTTGACTGCAGTACCCCTTACATGAACCAGGACAGATGTTTCCCCTCAAGGCTGTTCAAATACATAAGTGAAGCCATCTGGATGCTTACTGGGATCTCAAGAGTATGACCTCTCTTCTTATTTGCATTAAATAATAACAATAAAAAAAAAAAAGGCTTGTATAAACTCAACTTTTTGTTCAGAAAACAGACTATCATCCCCTTGTATTTTAGGTCTAATTCACTTCACTTTGTTAGGGAATTAATCAAGTGAATTTGTTTTATCAACATGGAAACCAGAAATTATTGTTACATAAAAATGTGCTGGAAGGGTATAAGACTACTTTGTCACTGAATGAGAAGCTCATAATTAACACCTGTAGCTGATTCATTCTTCTTCTTAATATCATGTTATGAACAATAATTGATGATGGAAAAAATATTCTCATTATTTTACATACTTATTTTCATTAACTAACAGAGAAATATAGCAAGATTCCAAGAAGATGCAGTCTGCTACCAGAAGACATGTATTACTAAGCCTTCTTGAAAGGCAGAATCCTGAGAATAAGTAAGAGGTGGCAGCTTGTTTGCAAAGAGAATGGCAACTTTAGGGAGAAGTAATTCTCTTGACATCTCCCCTTCAGTTTGTATCTTTCCTTTTCCTACTGATATTTCCCCACACACAGTGTGCTGAAACACAGATGGTGTGACCTGGCACTGCATCCACAGAATTACCTCTGTTTAAAATGAAATCTCATTAGGGGTCAAATTTACAATTCAGCATCACTTCAATAAATATCTGAACATCAATAAGTTAGTGCTGAAACTACTTCATTGTGCCATTTTGAAAAATCTGATGAACAGGAAGAAAGGGTATTAGGCTGCTGACCATGTATTTCCATAGCATCCATCATCCCAAAGGATAACATCAAATGTGAAAATGCAAGTACATTAGTTAAAAACAACAGCTATTGAGAGATAACAGAGCAAACACCTTACACAGCAAAGCAAAGATGTTAGAACTGAGGCAGCCCTTCTAGGCTGCTCTGCATCCACGAGTTTATCCTTCTACACAGCTGCGGGCACCTCCAGTGTGGTTGTGTTCATCAGCTCTTCAGCCACCACCCTAGGTAGACCTGTCTGTGTTCTACCACAGATTTACTTACAAATGTTTGTATGGATGCTTGCTCTTGTTTTTTACCTTCAAGATTTCTCTCTTTCTGGTCTTTATAGCCTCTGTTAAGAAAGAGGCATTCTGTCTCAGACCTAGCTGGCTGGGTTAACCAAACTGAAATCCTTAATCAAATTCTCTATGAGACAGATGATACATTTTCTTTTTTACCCATTCTATGTTTTAATGTTCATATGTAACTTCACACCTTTGATAACTGTAAATGATCCAAATATCACACAGTATTTCAGACAAGATACTACCAATGTCAAGACAATGGCATTAAAACTCTCTTTCTCCTGGAGACATGTTCCTGATTAATTCCAAGTTCATCTTTGCCATTTTCAGTCACATCACCTCTACAGTGCTCAGTTGATTTGGGATTAATTACTGTATTCTGACTTCTGGAGTCTTGCCAGTTGCTTCTGAGTAATTTCAACAGGAGTTACTGAAAGCATTATTATTGCTCTCTGTCCTACTAAATGACCTTCAAATCCTGATTCTCAGAAAAAAGATTTTTCAGTTTTCTGAAAAGTCAAGTTTATCAAGCACTTTCTGTACATAAGTAGATCAAATATTTTACAGATGGTCAGGCAGCTGGGTCAATACTACTTTGGATCTGCCATATTTCTGTCATTTGAAAAATCAAAACTAAAACATGAACACAACTTACTTTCTATATATTTATGTTGCTTTTCACCTAACATGCCATTTTCCTTCATGTCTTTAGTTATCCTTTCTTTTCTACATCACCTGCAAAGTTCTGCAGAGCCCTGACCAGTAAATTTGCCTTCTCACATTTCCCCAGCACACAAAGTTAGCCCAAAGCAGATACATCTTTGCTTAGGGACTTGCCATTGAAATTTCCAGTCTCTTCAGTAAGCTGAGATGTAGTGGATTTGGCATTAAATTATCCAACTTTGAATCTATCCTGTATATATATTTATTATGGCTAGTTTTGTTCTCTTTGCTCTATGCAAAACTGAAAGAAACAAGTGCTTCTTGCCTAGTGACTCTCTTAACTTTACTTTTACCCTATTTTCACTGCATGACCACCCTAATACCCTGTAAAGGATCATGTCCCATATACAAAACAACGTCAAAAAAGCCAATATGCAATTTCTATTTCAACTAAGCAGCAGAAAATATTAATGGAACCTAAAGTCTAATTAGTAATTTTGCAAACAAATACATGTACAGTGGCATATTCAGCACTTCTGTATAATTTTATAAGAGATGAAGTAAAAATCTACAAGGCACTGGCAGAATTGGTGCCTGCTGCCACTGAAGGCAAAAATAAAAAGCTAGTGTGGAAGTAATTTAGCATGTATAACTCATTTCTAAAGTTTGTGCTGTTTTATTCAAATCTAATAAGCAAGAAGGACAAGCAGAAAAGCAAATAAGGAAATTGAATAATGATTAAATGATCTTAACAGCCAGTTGTGAATCGCCTGATTTAATTAATTTCTTGCCTAAAGTACTATTATTTTTTCTTTGATCTTTATAATTGTGTTACAGAATGTTTCTTGGTTAGACCAGATTCCATGAAGTCTTTTATTTCTCTTTCAACTGTTGCATTATATAATTTGTAAGCTGCTTTCCTTTGACACTTTCTCAACTCTTTTTCTATTTTAAAATTCCCAACTATATTGAAAAATGGTTGGAAATGTAAAGGAAAACAAGTGGGGCTTTTTAATATTTTAAAATATTTGTTAATGTAACTGGTTTCAGGGGAAAAACTAACAATGTAAATCTAGTTACTTCCTTGCTATCTGGTATTTTTTTCTTAGTACAGATAATGCTTTGTATAAAACTAGTGTATTAATTGTAGCTAATAAGAATATTTTTTAAAACATACAGCCAAAATATTCTAGCCATGCCAAGCCCAAAATACTTAACTCCACACATCCAGCAATTCAAAGGCACTGCCATTGTCAGCATACATAATCCTCTGCTCCAGCTATCCGGCCCCAGAGAAATGCCTCCAGGATTAGAAATACTCTTATCTGCACTGACTCCACTCAAAAGCAGGGACAGGACAATGATTTCCAAGTCTACATCCTCTTAAACCTCTTCAAAAGATTACTCCACTCATAATATTGTAACAGATGATTATTTTTCTTTAAATGGATTTCTTGTTGGAAAGAGAAAAACTTGAAATTAGTTTTTGTTTTTAAAGGAAAAAATTGGAACTGTCCTCTTTGTTTCATTTTTGCCTATTTATCAATGAAAACCAAACAAAAGCCTTTCAAAAAGACTGAACAGCCAGCTGGTAATGGCTTCAGTGCTGGAGTCTCATTTGGACTATTTTAGCACAGGAGCAGTGCCCTACCCATGGGTGAATGCTTTCACTGGACTGCTCTGGAACTCAAAGTTAAATATGCAATGAAATACAGTTGGGAATTTAAAGAGGTTGTTGAGGAGGGTCATGCATTAGGATGAGAAACTGGAAGTGCTATCTTAAAAAAAAGTGAAGAGATTATTTAATTGCATCCTGAAAATACCTAAATGAGAAACCAGCTCTTCAATCTAACAGATAAATATATATCAAGATCAAAAGACTGGAACCTTGTGCCAGACAAATGTTGACTACAAATAAAATTACTTTTTTTTCCCCTCCCAGCAATGAGAATAATTAACTACTGGAACAATTTAGTACAGGTTGTGGGAACACCAGTGAAAGTTTTAAAACTCAAATCATCTTATGAAATGAACAGATATGAATTGCTCTAGAAAATGCATTGGCCTAGTTCAGTCAAAATCAGATTAAGTGATGCCAGGAGTCAGTTATAGGTTTGGAACCTATCAAAAGAGATCCATGCATACTTTGTCTCATAGGGCAGCATTTTTTCAACACTGGCAATACAAAATCACTAAGTCTAATCACCTGCAGACCAGATCCTTTCAAAACTTCTTGTGTTGAGTGGGCTGTATATCTGTTAGACCATCAAAATGTGACAGCAACTTTCATCTTAAGAAAATGTCTTAAACAAAGAACAACAAAGACAATGTCTGTGGGACGCAGAATCTCTGAAGCATACAAATATCTGAAGAAAGTGTATTTCCGCATCTTCAAACTGTGTGTCTTCACTTGTGCATCTTAACTTGTGTTTACATTTTGGAAAGCATGGACTCTCTCTTACCAAGGAACAGGTAGAAGTAGGGATGAGAAATAACACTAACACCTATATATTTATCACCTGGGCTTATAATGCTTTCAGCAGAGTCTCTATGGAAAACTAACTATGAGACTGGAGATCATGGATTTCACTGGATGTGTTGTAAACAATATTTTAACTGTTTTTCTTGGAAATTCTGTAACAACCCAAGGTTCTAGCAAGGACTCTGTGCAGGCACAAATCCATGCTCCTTTACATGGTGAGCAACAGTTTATAGCTCTGGAAACCTGCAAAACCACTGCAGATATGGAAGCCTTTTGTAAGGTTACTCAAATCAATTTCAAAATGGGTTACACCACATTGCTAGCATTAGAATATTGATTATATTGATTACAGTGGTTGCCTTTGAATTATTCTAGTCTGCTAAGGAAAATAATACTAATTATAAACATGGTATTGATCATCACAAGTTGTGATAACTTGACTGAAGGGACACACAGCTAAGTTTAAAAACTTCAATTAAATATTCTGGAATCTCCCTATAGAAAGAGTATGATGTTGAACAGCATCTGTGGAAATGAAATTTAGCATAATCCTACTTGGTTGGTTACTGACTCAATTGGTGACTTATCTTATTAAGCATAACCAGAGGTTATGATATTCCAAAAGACATAAGTAAAAATCTAGTTTGGCAAAATTATCTTCTAAGAAGTTGTTATTAGGTATTTAGCAGTGGGAATAGGCAAAGCCTGCAGAGTAGAATTTCCAAAATACTTACCACGGTTTGATGGTTCACCTGGATCACCTCATCACCAGCATGGATCTTCTTACACTGATCAGCAGGAGACTAAGGACAAGAAAAAATAATCAACTTGACATGGGGGGTATGGAGGAAGGAAGGGAAGAGCAGGAATTAAAATAATGAACGTTGAAGGAGGCAAGAAATCTATGCCCAAAGAAGTATCACTGTTGTCAAGAACAAGAATCGGTCATACTTATGAAAAGTGTGCTTATAAGGAACTATGTTTTTTATGGCTACAAATAGTGATTCAATGAAGCCATCTAGAATCCCACTTTCATTGGTCATGAGCAGCCTTTTTGACTGGTTGAACTATTCTAGTTTCTTCACCTCTCTCTGGGGAATATAAGCAGTCCCAATCTTACTGGAGATATACTGAGTGAATGTACATCACATACAAGCAAATCTGTTAACTCCACAAATACTGTGGAGCAGGGCTGGAGCAGCTGCACATGTAACAGAAAAGCAGTTCTACTGCTTAAGGGCACTGAAGATACCCTGCCAATACACTACAGCTCCAGCACTTCCATTACTAGATTGACCATTTGAACTCAGAATGCCATAATTTACAGCTGCATAATATCAGTGACAGACTAGCTGGCAGGAGATTTGTGTACACACACACACACTATTCCATGTATACCAGTCACATGATTTTGCAATCAATGAGCTAAGAACTCTCTTATCCCAAGTGTAGCTTCTTCTGATCACATTAAAATGGAATAAATCCCACTGAAAAGCCACTTGAATGTAGCCAACTGCTATTTAGCAAACTGGTTTTAAATGCTTCAATGAAATCAGATCTTTAATCTGTAAGAAAATCTGCAAGGCGTGCAGATCAGCAGTCATAGTCAAGAGCAGAGAACTGAGAACTCATGGCAACTACTTGCATTATGCATGAGTGCACAAGAGTGAAAACTTGAAATTCAAGAGAAAATACCAGAAAAGATTCAAAGAGATAAGACATCACCATAAGAAATAAATCAGAGTGGAAATTAGGTATTAAGGAAGTAGACGAGCCAGGGGACTTGAAGGTTAAATGTCTGCCCCTTAGATACCAAGCAGAGGACAGATCGCCCACCTCAATGAGCTAATTATTACCTTTTCAAATTAAGCACTGTCTCTGAGGTCAATTATCCCTTCAAAAGGAATGAAAAATCAATTTGCTGAAATGCCAGAAACTAAAGGTCTTTGAAGGTGGTTTATCTGTACATGTGATTATACTTTTAGCAAAAAAAAGACAACTTTTTACAGTGAAGTCTTATTAAAAAAATTTTGACATCTGAAGTTTAGTCAAATCAAAAATTTAAATGGTTGACAATTTAGTAACTCCTCCTGTGAATTTCAATTATAAATATATAAATATTTTTCCTACAAAGAGCATTATATTTCTAAAATTAATTAGAATTACAGTTAAAAAGTAGATTAATTATATCACAAGTAATTCAATCTATGAACAAAATCTGTTGCAACAATCAAGATGAATCATTCACAAGTTTCAGGACCCAAGATACACATCCAGTAATTTTAAGACTTGTAAATACTTCCAGTGGTATTCATATAAATAAGCAAGCAGATTTTAAGTTTAGTCTGCATTAGACTTGCCTTCATAAATTGTGACACACAAATCATGAGGGTTTCCATGGGTTTGCAGTCCCTAAACACTGAATGACAAACCTGTGTCTTGCAGTACTACTCAATATTTGAGATGTAAATAGAGCAGTGTGTTCAAGCTCACTCAGGGGGCCAGTGCCACTGCTGCCTGCAAGCATTTGCATCTTGGGCTAGACACACAGTGCTCATTTTGTGTTCCCTGGGTGTCAGCAGTATATAATTTCACCATTAGCTTTATGAAATCTAAACTTGCAATTTATCCAGCTATATGCTGCTGAGCAGATCCAGGACTGAAGGAACAGTGTGACAACAGCAGTTGGTGAAAACCAGAAGGGATGGGTTCCATGAGGAAGTCTGTCGTAGTCATTAGATTGCAGACGTTGAAGCAAATTTATTTGTTCCAAATTTGTAATTATGAATTGCAAGTTAAGTAACAAAAAAAGGTATTTCGAAACAACTTGGTTATTCTTGTCACCATGTTTATTTTTTGCAATGATCAGTCATACCGATTCATGTGCTGCAGCATTTCTGGGGACTTTTGGGTTGGATTCTGGGACTACAATCAACATTATAATTCATACTTCTTTTTTTGTCTCATTTTTACTACAAAGTGTGGAAAATATGAAAACGCAATGGTGCTTACCTCATCCTAATACAATTCTTTCAGGAATGGTTATTTTCCTATAAGAACATTTTATACATCCTCACATAATAGTGATTTGGATTGTTAACTAACTTGGTTTTTATCATTTTTGAATCATCAATTTCCTTCCATTTGGGAACCAAAAGCTGTTTGCATTTCCTATGATTTTTCCATACTTAGTGATAGTCCTGGCAGTGATTACTGCTTTATATTTACCAAAGATTATACCATAACCTGTTTGATACTGAATATAACATCTTCAGTTTACATCCACCCACACTGGTGATACTGTAACTATTTTAAAATATATCATCTTAAAATCCATTTTACTCAACTGCTTGTACATATAGAAACTACCTCTTTTCCATGAGTCAATCCTAGGACAGGCATCATCACCAAAATCTAATTTTTCCACCCGTCTTTTAAAATCCATTTGGTAGTTGAAAAATATTCAAAATTACTGTTCATTTTAAGAAGAAAATGAGGAACTCTTAGCAAAAGAAGTATTTATTATAGTATGAGAATATTTACTCACTGTATAAAGTTAGCTGACTGTGTAAATTAAGGGCTGCTCAGAGGAAAGTTATAGTTATCAGGAACTCTGCAATTTTTTTTACTACTCTGGTCAATATAAAAAGTGGTGGGTTTTTTTCCCCATTATATTATATTTGCTGTTCTGTTGACAGAGAAATACCTCTTTTATTTTTATATGAAGCTGAACTGTCCCATGTCATGGGAGATTTACCTAAAGTAGAGAACTAAAATTAAATACAACAGATACTATTTTAGACCAATGATGATGCTCTTACATGAGAAAAATTTACTGAAAATAAAGGAAAACACTTTTGTGCCAGAGAGAACATATACATGAGCACTAACAGAAAGATATATTTGAAGAAGTTTAGTATTTTCATTTTATCAGATTATTAGTTATTATTCACTTTCAAGATATTTTCCTATGTCCATTTTCAAGGGTTCCAAGTTTTCACAAAGGTAACTATGTTACGTGTACAGAAAAGATAAAGAAAAGCAGTATTAATAAAAAGTGGCTTGATTGATTAGTTTTCATACTGCAAAATGCACTGCAGAAATACAGAAACTACTTGTATGCAAGATAAAAGTCTTTTAGAATAAAGAAGCTTACATTTTCAGTTGTTCCTGTGATTACATGTAGTCCATCATATGTTGATTTGATATACATTCCCTGAAAAAAAGCAAGAAGGAAACAAATGATGTTTGCATGATAATTAGAATAGTATGTTTACTCCAGTTTAAGGACCACAGTATTTGAGAGACTGGAAGGAACCATGGGCAATTAACATTTGCAAATCCAAGTTCAACAAATAGGCATCAAGACCCATTACAAAATGCACAATTTTTCCACTTAATGCTTTTAATTCCAAACAAAGTTTTTTGGACAGAATTCAATACTGAGCAACAGCATAAAAGCTCATGCTTGTTCAGTATTTGAAATATTTAACATCAGCTCTTTTTATGACTAGTGGCAGAAAAGAACTATTGAAACTGAAACCGGAATAGTCTTTAAACTTGAATGCCCCACCTTCTGAATTTCTGGCTCAATAGAAATGCCACCACAGCCAAGACATGAGCCAGTCAGTGCTCATCTTGTCAATTTATGGAGCAAAACAAACCAACAGGACTTCTGCAATTAGTCCAGCAGGAA